TTTTTAGTGAAATAAATTACTATGTTCCTTTTAGTGACACTATTAGTCACAACGGAACATTTGCTTTGTATTGTTTTGGTCAACCATAGATTCTAGCCAGAACTGGGTCATTCATCTTCATTCACTATCCTTCTTATCTTATTATATAATCTGCTCTGACTAGATTGCCCAGTTTTCTTTGAGTTTGGTTGTTAAGTTGTTTTTGATAGGACTTCTTTCTACCAGTCGATAACTGCTCTTGTCGTTTAGCTCTTCTCTTGGTTTTTCCATGTAATCCAGTTTGCTCATGATGACTGTTTTCCTTTCTCTTTCTGTTGGTAGTATGTTTTAAATAATAAACTTGGTCAAGTTTCTTCAGTGGAGTTCTATCAGTCTCACCCGCCACTTATATTCACATACTTTTAAGAGTTAAATATCTACACTTTTGAGGGAGTTGTGGGGATTTGGAAATATTTCAAGTTGTTATTCAACGTAGACTGGCATCAGTTGGAGGAACAGAGAAAACCTGGAAGCACTCAACAGCTGTTTCGTCCTAGTATGGGACTCCTCGGCAGTGTGCACCCACGACCTTTATGTTCCGTGGCCAGCACGTTACCAGTGAGGTAGCCACTGGGTCAGAATCCAATGGTCCTTATTTCCAACTTCTGTTAGCTTACCTGAAGGTCGCGGGTTCGGTCCCTGGAGGGCGGGGTCGTGGGTGCGCACTGCTGAGGAGCCCCATACTAGTCGGACGAAACAGCTGTCTAGTGCTCCCAGGTTTCCTTTGTCCCTCCAACTGATGTCAGTCTACGATGAATAACAACTTGAAATATCTACACTACTGAAAAAGTTTTAAAAGTAGTAGTCAAGTACAAGATGTACTTATCTGTGTCTGTGGAATTTTCTATTCGAACATGAAATATACTATTACATTCAATTACCTGTTTAATGTACACCAATGCTAGCTAATATTAGAATTTTAATTCAGTCTTCCAAACATCAACAACTTCAGCCCGTCAGATGAACATGAGCAAAGTACACAGGCTCGACTCAAGAGACTTTGCTGTCCAAACAATCGATAGAGATAAGTCAAAAACACTTGAGTATAGATACAAATAGAATTCGACCTGGTCAATAATGAAGATTTGGGGATAGATCAACCATTTAAGCTTCAAAAAACTTCAAGAAGGCAGTTTACCGGTGAGAAAAAAAGCGAAAACAGAAAATTCAAATGTATGAGAAATAAAACACTATGTTTATATCATACTAATCTGGCTGGCGAAGTACCACAGATAAGCCAGAGTAGTTTCTAACTACCCAAGTTTCTGAGTAGTAGTAAATTTCGCTGGTTCCGGACACTTTTGTGTTAGATATTACACCTTGTGATCTTGGCTGAATGGTTTCTAGCGGAAACCTTGTTGACACCACAGTTGAGCGGCTAGAAAGCTACACAGCTGTGAAAAATGTCAAGGTGAACGGTGAAATTTTTAAATCATTCGCCAGTTTATAAACCTCAATATATAGCCTAGAAAGTTCAGACAAATAGAAGTTCTGAATGCTAGCACACGTCATTTGGGAAAATTTTCCTCATCTAAGATAGGCAGTAAAGTAATTCTTAATTTACTTGGTTGTGGCTAGCAGAGGAATCCACGACGCGCGTCTCTTCTTATTTGGGACTCATCAGCTGGATGTATTGGCGCTCCAATGAGTGGTGTTTTCCTCACTGGGACTCGAATCTAAAACATGTTGCTTCAAATGCCAAAGCGTTATCCACCGGGACATTGAAGCACTATGGCCACTTCTTGTACAACGAGTATTAGTTATTACTGTTTGTTGACAGGGGTTGGTAGAGGTCAAACAATTCGATCCAATAAAACAAGGGGGAACTAAAACCCGTTGTACAAGAGGTGGCTATCCTTCCTCTATGGCCTATTAGATAACCTCTTGGCGTTTAAATCGATGGGTACGAGGTTCCAGTCTCGTTGAGAATAACATCACTCCGCAATGGGGTGCAGGTACATTCAGTTGACGAGTCCCAAGCAGAATGAAACGCTTATCCTGGATTCTTCTTGTAGACACAATCAAGTAAATTATCATAATACATATTCAGGCAATATCAAGGCATCCGTGACTAGGGGGGTCAACCAGTCGGAAGTGAAGTGGATGCCAACTGAAGACCTTGGATGATAGTTACGCTATATCGTGAATTGACAGAACTTGGAAATTGTGAACCACTGGAAACCGACCCAGTTGCTGAATGGTTAACGTGTTCGGTGTGAAACCTGAATGTCCTGAGTTCGATGCTTAGTGGGGTTGTGGTTGCGTACTGTTGAGGAGTTGCATACTAGGAGTAGAAACAGGTGTCCAGTGCTTCTAGGTTTTCAATGGTTCCCCAAATGATATCAGTCCATGATGAATACTACCTCTAAATAACCAGTTTATCAACAAATATTAACACCTGAAATTGTTTTTGTTTTTTTCACAAGCATGATCAATATTCAAGTTAAAAACTGAGTGTTACAATCATGCAGTCATTCGAACTATTCATTCCCCCTAACCAATCAAAATAAGGATTGAAATTGACATTAATTTGTAAATTGAATAAATTATCAGTATTCGTTTATTTTCCTGTAAATTTTCATTGTATCAATGTCTAATAATGAAAATCTTCAACTTAATCAAATTAAAGTGGATCACTGTAAGTAGATTTACGTTTATGAACGCGAAGATAAAAGCTATTACACAGTATATCAATAGAATATATAATGATTAGTTTTGAGAAAATGTAAGTTTATTGCTTATTTCTTTGCTTTCCTATTATTGTATTTTTATAATTGCAATGAGTCAACCCTGAAAATGTATCTAGTTATATCATTGGTTTGACAGCTTTGTTCGACTCATTTAAACACTCTTATCGTGCGTGATTAAACCCTTTGAGAGAAATTTAATGCACCAATCGAATCTGACTGCAGTGTACACCATTTTTACTTACGCCATATATATGGAAGGCTAATACTCTTTTGTGGTGGTCACACTTGTCAATTACAGTGACCTCATGATTTTATGGAGACTAGAATCATTGTTTCTTGTGATCTTACCTTACTAGAAAGGTTTGCTGGATGGTAAAAAGCATAAAAGCAGTCACTGTCATAGTTTAGATAGCTCACACTATGACAAGTGTCAAAGAGTGATGTCGTACCACTGGCTGTTCGACGTGGGGCATCACTTGGGTGTTTCCTGACTAACCAGCATTTCATTCAGATTCTAAATTTCCTTGCCACAAGGAGTGACTAGGAAAGGTTGACCGCAAATTAACCATACTCCTCACTACCCTAAAAGTTGATGCTTGAAATATGGCTTCTGTTAATATGGATGTATTATCTATTATTTGTCCCTTGCGTTCCTACTGGAACATAGGGCTTCAATAGCACGTCGCCATTTCACCATCTTCTCTACACTCTTCTCAACTTGCCTCTACCACTACCCACAAGCTTTCATTTATTCCTCACATCATCTCCCCATGTCACCTTCATCTCGGACGCCCAACTCGTCGTTTCCAATTTGGCTTCCACTCGAAGGACTGGCTTGACCTAGCCTGATGGTCACAAACGGTCTTCCCACTCTAATGTCCAATCCAATCCATCTCCATTTCCTTCCTCCACATATTTGTTGGTCAATAGGTTCTTGGTCGGTTGGTTCGTTACCACTCAGAATTCCTTGTATCTTATCCTCATTATTCTCACCATCTATCTGATCTTCAGTATTGAGTGAGAGTAGATGACAGCTGTTCATCTATGTCTGTAATTTGTTGGAAATGATTTTCATAACGCACCGCCAAGTCCCTCAACCATCACATAGAAGCACTGACTTACTTGACTTGACTTGACTTGACTGAATTAGTGTTGAAAATCCGGATGTTGTTCACGCTTCATGTTGAGTGCATTGGAGTGCAGTGGAGTGCAGTAGATCTCCACACTGATTATTTCAGATTATTGTGAATGAAGACATGTCTTGCTGTCTTTCTGATCCTGACTACTTTGACATCCTCATCTGTATGTGTGCCACCACCACCCGTAGTTGAACTGATGCTGTCTAGGTAGGTGGGTAGGTGAAGGAGACTACTTCATTTAGATTTCTCCCACTCATGGTGATTGGTACTTGTTGTTGGTGCTGTTGTTGATTGTGCATTTTCATCACCTCCATCTTCTCTACGTTCACCTGAAGGAAGTCCTGTCTTCCTTCCATGCTTCGCCTCACCTCGCCTCTTCTGCCAACTTGTTAGTTTTCGCCTGTAGATCTTCTAATTTGTGTGACGAGACATGAGACATAAATCATCATCATAATCGGCGGCTGCGAAATCCAAATATTCTGGGGTTTTTCATCGGTTCACAGTATACCCGTCTTCTCACTCCTCACGGTTCGCTGCATGTTCCAGTCGACCACAATCAGGAAGATGATAGGTGATAGTAGGCAGCCTTGTCTTACTCCTTCCTGTCTTCACTTCAGAGGTGTTACTGAGCTTTCCATTGTGAATCACTTGGCATGTGGTGTCTTCATACAGCATATAGCTGCTGTTGAATGAGGTTGATGAAGATTTGTGGCACTCCGTAGTGTTGAAGCAACTATCAAATTACTTCTCGATTGACTCTATCAAAGGCCTTTTGAAAGTCGGTGAAGTTGAGGTATAGATCCAGTTGACTACTATTCTATGCTGTGTTCTATGATGATGTGTAGCGCTGCAATTTGATCCCCACATGATTTGTTCTTCCTAACTGATAGGTCTACTGTTGTTCAATACCTTAAACACATAGGTGGTGATAAGGTTGTCTAAGATAACCTTGATTTGGTAGACTGATCTATTTGGGATCTTGGATGATTGAAAATCAATGAAAACTTGGATCGTGAAAGGGCTTGAACCAATAACCTTTAGGTTCGAGTCCTACCATAACCAGTTAAATTTAAGTGAATTCGTTAGCATTAATTTCTAATCTACTTTAACTCTTTATTTTTCATACCTACAGATTACTATGACACATTCAGAATTATTGTCAACAATGAATCCAAACTATGAGATTTTTGAAGATTTCAATCCATCTTTGACCACACCGATCAGTAGAGTTGCATACTTGAAACAATTATTACGATCATTGTCATCAGATCTACTCCAGCCAGAGTATTTGGATACTGTTCGATTGAATGATATTATTTCAAAGTACCATCAATTCATAAATAATCATTATCCTCTACCTAGTCAGTCAAAACAATCTCATCGAAGTATTACCTTAAAAGATTCATATATCAATCCATCACGATATGTTAAACGTGTTCTAGCTAATTACAAAAGACAAGCTATTCTAGCCGACTACAAACGTTCAACGCATAGAAATGTACCATGGCTCAATTACAAGTGAAATAGACGGTTTTATCAGTTTGATTTGGGAAAAAAAACAACTTTCAGCTTAATCGTAAATCTTGTTTTCAATAAAAAGCCTTTGAAATAAGTATGAAGAATTTTTTTTAAGAATCAGGAGAGTAATAAATTTTTAGGATCTTTGGAGGTGTTTCGAATTATATCCTACTTGAGGGGCGGAGGCGGGTAGATCATGAGCTTATCTCGTGTTAGACACAAATCACAATAGACTTCATCATTAGTAGTAGTGAAAACTAACTCTTATGAAGTTTGTATACTAGTCAGATAAAATTCTTCATAACTTTTTGATTATTCATGAGATCATAGCAACTATTTCTTGATCTGCTTTGTTCTCTTTACTGTCTTTATCATTGAAATTCAGTCTCACCTCAATAGTTAACTGTCTGTCTTATCTAATGAAATTTACCGATCAATTACATATTTCCAGACCGTTTTGTCAGTATTCAACTGCTGTGAGTTGAAACAAATGATCAGCGCATTTCAACGGTAGTTAGTGAACAGTATATGATAATTTGCATCCACTATTGTAGATGAACATATGTCCTTACGCGTAGCCTAGGAAGGTGTTACATGTTGTGACTTAATAAGATATATATGGGTGGATACTTAGACAAAAACCTTCAGATTCCACCTCTATTGATTGCTCAGTTCCTCGGTAAATGATAAAGTTGGTAAGACAACTGAAAATGCATTACAATATCAAAAAATGTACAAATACCACGGTTTATCTATGTTCATAATGGCTTTGACCATTTCTGAGCCTTTCTAGGAGGGAATATCCTATCGATTTTGTCTTGTCAACCATTCTCCTATTTTGTACATACATCTAAGTGGTTTTTGTCGAAACTTTGAATCAACCTGATTGGCTGTGAAAGGTCTCAGAGATTTTGGGCTTCGGATGAGGATCTGTTCATATTTGTCACATACACATACACATACACATACACATACACATACACATACACATACACGTACACATACACATACACATACACATACACATACACGTACACTACACATACACATACACACACACACACATACACATACGCATACACACTTGCCCATAAAATTTTGAAGCTCTCCATCTTTAATTTACGAGTAATCAATGAACTCCGGAATGATTTTCGCTAACAATAAGGTTAGCTAGTTAACTAATTATGGATATTCATGAATGCAGGAACTAAAAATTGTTGATTTAAATTAGTAGACTTTAGCTTACTGGTTAACTGACACTATAATCACTTTGAAGCATGAAGTTAATGGTTTCTAACCAGATCCTTTGATTATACTGAAATAGTTTTGTGTTTTATACATCTTCTCTGTAGTTGCTATCTGTATATGATGAAGATGTTTACTAGGCGATGTCTATCCTGAAAGCCAATCAACTGAATAAGTATCTTATATCTAAGGAAGTAAAGCTGTTTGAAGATGATTGTTCTATTGAATAATTGTTCTCACTTTCATTGGTATTCACTCGTTTGGTAGAAGAATGTTATATGATAACTGATATTTCCATCCAAGTATTCAACTGCACTCTGAGGGGATCATAGGTGTACACTGCTGAGGAGTTCTATACTAGGCTGAAATAGTTGCCCAGTGCTTTCGGGCTTCTAGTTATTCTTCATTGGTTTTCAGTTCATGGTGAATACTAACCTGAAATCAATAAATTAATCCGCATAAACCTCTAAACTGAATTACTGTCCAGTGCTTATTTGTAACTTACTGTGAGATGAAATTCGCAAATATCTAGCCAGAAATCGTGATCATTGGAGTCAACTAAGTTGGACGTAAAGATATTTACTCAACGACGGTATTAGATGGTCAAGCTATGTAGTGAACTGGTAGAAGTAGGAAATGTGGCTCCATGGTAACGTGCCGGCCGTCGAACTGATATTTTGTTTGCTGAATTACCACCATAGTTTAAAACTGTTATTCTGTATATCTGTCGTTTTATCAGGTATAGGCTCATCTCTTGAATAACTACTCAAAGAAAGTGGTATACAGTTAGACTTATCCATCAACTTATAGTAACTGGCAGGCTAATTAGATAGTTGTCAGGGAAAGGTGTTTCACAGTTGAAAGAATTTAATTTAGGGGGTTTGTGTGCATTTAGACGGACATCATTTGGAGGAATACCGGAAATCCGGGAGCATTGGACAACTGTTTCGCCCTAATATGAAACTCCTCAGCAGCGCGCACTCATGACCCCAACAAGGATCGAACCCAGGACTTCACCATTGACCCACTGAGTCGGAATCTAAGGGCTCTTATTTCCAACTTCTTTCAAAAATTTATGCTTTCTCTGGAGCCTTAGAACGCGTCACTCACTCCTGAAGTTATGTAAGCAGACGTACAACAGACAGACACACAGGCAGGCAGACAGATTGAGAGACGAATAGATAGATAAATTCACACACAAAAGTCCACTGGTTCAAGTTGTCACAATTCATGGCAGCATACAATGAACAATCAGGTAGTAAGAAAGTGATGTGAAACTAGATGAAAGTAAACGGAAAGACATAGAATCCTAAAATTGAAGGTAAGTGATCAGTTAAAACCTTTGAAAACATTAAAGAGTGAATACATTTGGAGCCTTTGTGACGGATTTCTAACCATGCCATCGAGGTTCCCTAACCAGGCTTCCTACACCCCTTACATGACTTGAACTAATAGTCAGATCCCTCATGAACTAATGGCACATCTTTATCTGGTTATCCTGAGCCTTCCTTCTTCCAACACAATCCTACCTCGACTAACGTTGCTTGTCGAGGTAGGCGGTGTCTCATAGCATCTTCAAGTCACCTCATTCGTCGAAGGTTCCCATCCTTGCCTAGTAATTTACACCTAACCTCGACACTACTCATACTCTAATTCCACCATATGTGAGGAATGCTCCGAAGACACCAACAGTCTCTTCATATCTTCTATCTTAAATGACCGTGTCTCACAGCTTCAGGGTATATTCATGCTTTAAGACGTGAACGGATATCTTACCATTCGATGCCATAGATTACGTCATTTGATAGATGCCAAGCGGACCTTTCTTATCGAAGTTGAAATTTCGTCAACAAACAATCTCTTCGGGTTGATGCAACTTCTCAAGCAAGTGAGGTGGTCAATGTATCTTACCAATTCACTCCCCCATCCCGGAACTAGGAGTAGCTGCAGACTAGTTTTGAGATACAACCAAACAGTCGAGAGGTCCAAAACATACTCACATCTACGTTCAAGGTGTTCAGAAATGAAGTTCTATAGCATCCTAATCTTTAAGACAGTATGAGCTCCAAGTTCTTGAATACTTTAGGTTAGTGAGTATGAAAAAATAAGGAACTCTTGGATCCATATTTTACACCGACTTTCTCTAGACACCGATCATTAGTGAAATAATGATAGTACTAATAATAACAATGATAATAATAATAATAATAATAATAATAATAATAATAATAATAATAATGGTAGTACCTACTAGCGGGATCCAGAATAAGTGTTTCGTGGTATTCCGAACTTGGCATCTAGATGCAGCCACCTTCTACCTAGTATAGTGTTTCTGCCAACCGAGATTTAGATTCCAGACTAGCATCTATCTCTGGAAACATGAGGTCTTTATTCGTTGGACCACTTGGTTACAATGGCTAATACTTACGAGATGTGATGAGGAGAAAAACCTCTCTACTCTTTATTGCTTGATCAATAACTTTGCATCGCACGCAAGTTGCTTTCCATTCTGTGTTTGGCGGTCGCAAAATTTTAAGCATTACATTAAAATGACTTTAAACTACACTGAAAAATAAGTTTTAGTGCCATCCCGGGATATTTTTAACAACTATGGTCTGGATTTCTTGGTTGCAGCCAGCAGAGGAATCCATGAAGCGCGAGGTCCAACAATTCTATCCAATAAAACAACGGAGAAAAACAAGCATACCAGTAAATAGTAACAATTAATACCCGTTGTACAAGAGGTGGCTATCCTTCCTCTATGGCCTATTAGATGACCTCTTGGCGTTTAAATCTATGGGTACAAGGTTCAAGTCTCGTTGGGAATAACATCACTCCGCAATGGGGTGCAGGTACATCCAGTTGACGAGTCCCAAGTAGAATGAAACTCTTATCCTGGATTCTTCTTGTAGACACAATCAAGTAAATTATCATAATACATATTCAGGCAGTATCAAGGTATCCGTATAGGAACCCATAGGCCTATAGAAGTCGAACAATTCGACCCAGTAAAACAACAGGAAATTACAAGCACATCAAGAAATATGCTCTGAATGTTTAAAATGTTAGGCCTCAACACACTGATTTCATTTATTCCAAGTACAACAGGTTCAAATATGCACTAATCCTCCATGGGTTTTAATTTAAAGCTAAACGTAATGCATACAGTCCAACCATTTATCAAAGCGAGAATGAAAAACAATTACCACTAAAGTGAGTAACAATTTCTTAAAATAATTTCACTTAATATTTATACTACTTATTTTTGTTTTAAAGTAGTTAATGTATCAACTCAATTATTTCGTTGACAAAATTCTGTAAGCTGTTGTTGAAGTACCCTAGTAACTTGATACCAGTTACAAAATAAGCTTAACTAGAAAACAAAAGAAGTTGTAGTTTTTATGATTGTTTTTATTTAAGTATGTAAGTATATTCTTAATTGGGAAAGTGTTTGTACAATGCAATTCACGCGTGGATAATATTTCTTCCATTTGAAAACAAAAGACAATCATTAATAGTAATAAAGGTAATAAAATGATTGTATGGGAGGGAATACAAACAGTAAATAGTAAAGTCAACATATTGATCTTAATATTTTTCTCATTTTGACCAGTTGTTTCTAAGGTATAAAAACATAAATATAGGTGTAATGTCTTTTGTCATTCTTAAGGTAAATAAAATAAAATATATTCAGTAGTCAAGCTACTTGTGAAGTTACGTTGATGCCTTCAATATACTGTGAAATATTTTATTATATATATATATATATCTAAAGAAAGGGATGGTGGTCAGAGGGGGGGCGATGAAAAAATGAAACTTCCTCAAGACGAATGAATTCGAATATATTTTGA